GGGCAACAAGCTGAAAGGACCGTGGCGAAACAGCGGCCGAATATTGAATCCGTGAATTCAACATTTTGCCAAATGCATGTGATCGTCCCGCCTCAGACTGCAAGAAAGGCTCCAAGATTCGAAGACCCAGCTCTGGCAAATCGACCTTGAAACGGCGGAGCAAGGCATTTCGGAAACAACTTTGGACACACAAATTTCAGTGTTTTGGCAAAGAATTCAAACAACTCAGTGGAGTGTTTTGGAAGATGTTCTGAACACACTTTCGACTCAGATGACCTAGCAGTCACTGGCAACCGTCTTCGTTGCCTCACCTGCATGTTCTGTGGCCGGTCCTCATCATCAGCAAAAAGTGCGAAGACCTGAGGCATCGAAGTAAGAATGTCCAGGAAAACTATGTTTGCAAGTAGTGTTTAACATCACAAGTTCGTTGTGGTAAGTTTTTCTTGACAGCCAAGTCAATGTGAGAGACAGCTATTGTCTTTGGCAGCTCCTTGAAATTTATGTCGTTCACACATCTGAATCTTCGCCATGAAGACAGACCGAAAATCTGTTCGAGGCCTAGAAAGAGTAGTCACTCTTGCTGTCAAACTGTCGAACACCCTGTACCCTCCCTGGTTTGAACAAATACAATGACATGACACCTTGCAACCTCACCTTAAGTAATAAGCCCCACACACACACACACACACACGACGCCAAACTCATTCAGCCATCTAAACACACCCACCGACCTCCGCAAGGAGCGCTTGCACCAACTCCTGGTGGCTGCTGTGGAGCGCCGCCTCCAAACACTTCAGGAGGCTTTGGCTTGGCACCACCGCTGCACCTCCGCAAAGCGCGTGAAGTGAAGATAAGCCCTCAGTGCCGAATACCTTTTCAACATGCATCGTGTTCCTAAAACCTCTCATGCAATCTACCGACCCTTTCAGAAGCTCAGGTCTGGAGTCTCCAGTTTAAGCCTTTTGGCGTAGTTTTCATGAAAAGCTCAACTCCTCCCAAACCTTCGCTGGAACCTGCTCCACACATTGCTCCATTCTGCAAACTTCAAAATTGCATTTGGATGCATTTGGACATGTTTCTGGACGGACTTGCGAGTCGGTTGAATGCGTCTCGGAACCTGTTGGGAACCTCTTTTGGCAAATCTTCTTGCGAACCTCTAAAAACTATGGCTCGAGACCCCAAGTTTTAGCTGTTGAGAAACGCCATTCTTTCTTTACAAAACGAAGAAGACATCTGGTGCAACAACCAATAACCACAACCACAACAGCAGCAACACCAAAAGCAGCAGGAACAATTACAGCAACGACACAAGGAAGACAAGAAGCATTTCCCTTCCAAACTTGTAAACGAGATCTGAGATCTAAAGAATAAGGAGTTCTCATGAGTTCTCTGACTCCCGTCTTCCCGAAGTGCCCGCAGGGTGCCCGAAGCACCTTGAGCCCCGAGGCGCCGTCGATTGTCGCAGATGGCAGTCAAAGCCGCCTTGGACAAAAGAACAGGGCAGTTAACAGCGTGCTCCGTTTCTTGGTGAAATCAAGAGTTTTGTTTACAGGATATACAAGGGCAGTATACAATATAGCCGTTCGTGACAAACTTCTAGTGGCTTTGGAATGTACCATCATCATCATGTAAGTCCAAAGAAGTCTGAGGCTGGGAGAAGAACGAGGATGATGATTAAAAGATATTAAACGTGCTCGAAGGACACTCTCCAAGTGATTCAAATGGCAAGAGCCTAAGGCATCCACCAATCCAGCTCGCTGCACTTCCTCTACTTCAGCACATCAAGAACCACAAACATAACGTAGCATCTCATTCGGCTTCAGCAAAATACAGCCACACTGTGCAAACAGAAACACGACCCTTGTAGTTCAACAAGTCCAAACGCCCAAAAACGCCAAAAGGTCCTCTTGAGACTCCAAGGCCCGGTGGAGCACGGCCAAGGCTTCAGTGTCTTCGATCTCCTGACCTCGAGCGAAGTGCGTTGAAGACCAGGAGTCAAACTAGAAATTACATGCAAAAGAACAATTCGAGGAAATTCGGTTCTCCTTGCTGCAAACACAACAGCAAGTCGCACGACAGCAAGTCTAAGTGGCAGTAGCCAAGCAGGTGCGCCAGCTGACTCAAAGATCCTTGAGTGGCGAAGCAAATCAAACGCAAGAGGTTTGTCTGTCAGAACAGTCATTCAACCATATTCGGAAGCTCAATCTAGTTTGTCTGGCTTTCTATATTTGCTCTACACAACAGCCCCTTGGCTCTACACTTGGCTCCTGCGTGGTCTTTGCAAAGCTGTCCCAACTTCTTCAGGAAGGTCGGCTCCAAGGCGCTTCGCAGCTGTTGCCTTGCCAGGCGGTCAGGCGCAGCTTGCCACGGTTTGGTGGATTTGTTGGGGTCTTTCTTTTGGACGTGTTCATTTTTTTGTTTGGTCTTGGCCGTACAATCTGTCTTGTGGTGCTTTAGAATTTGTTTGGGGTATTGTTCCGTAGGGTTTCTTGGTGGTCTTGTAGGGCCTTTGGATGGTTCGATGAGTTTATATGCTTTTGGACCTTTTGGATGTATTTATTTGTAGATTTGGTTCGTCTGACAACAAATCTCCCAATCCATCCACGCCTTGCATCAGCAGCGCTGGGACGAATCGAGTGTTCCTTGCCATCCTCCGCGAGCAAGTGAAGGGAGAAGACCGAAACGTGATTCGTTGTAGAGAAAGGGCTTTCAGTGTGCTATCTGGGGTCCATGACCATGCAACCAAATGTACAGTAGTAATAGTAGCGTGTCGTTTTATCAATTTGAAAAGGCTTCCAATAAAAGCTCAGTTGACAAATGCTTTGATCACATGGACTGCCTCGTCGTCCAGCTCTCGGCCAGCTGCCAAACAACAAAGGCATTGCAGAGCCGCCTTGGACCAACGAGGAATGTCACGAAGTGGACATGCTGCACGCGTGAAGGGAACAGAACGAGTGCGGAAACCATCTATGAACACAGGTCCTAAAGACATTAGAAAAAGCCAGGCTAGATTGTTTTCGAACACATGTCATGTCATTCCAGACATACAACGTAACAAAACACAACTTCTGCCCCACCCCAGTTCTGCTTCTGCCTTCCGCAACCCGTCACGTGCTTCGCCCATCTTGGCGGCAGCATCCAGCAGTCTTGCCACGGCTTGGTGCTTCACCAGTAACGCGGCCTGGTGAGGTCATGAGGCTCCACTCAGTTTGTTCCCGAAGTGAAAAGAATCACAATCAAGAGCATTGCTATTAGGCTGGAGGCCATCGCTATTAGGTTGGAGGCCATTGCTATTAGGTTGGTTGGAAGAACAGTCTCCACCGTCCTGACTCGAGAGCGCTGCTCGCCGTAGTTGTTCACAAATCTCCAACTCCTTCTGCTTTGCGGGTCGGCCAAAATCTTTTTGTTTGATGGAGTGACTGTTGTGAGCTGCATAAATATATTTTTGAGCCTATGATTTCCTAGGTCAAGCCCAAAACATTGGCTTCTTTTGTCTTACCGATTTGTCTCTTGTCAACAATGTTCAGCCGTTCCGACCAAGGCCTGTTCTGGAGTGATCTTCTCATCTCCCAGCTGCTGCAGGAAACTCAACGAGGTGCTAGGTTCGGGACCTTGGGTCGCTACATCGACTGAAGGACCACTCGGGTCGTCAGCGTCTGGCATTGATTAAGAGCAGCAAAGCACGTGAGTGAAACCTATTGCCGTTACTCTTCCTCATTTGTTGTGTCTGTTTTCTTCTAAAATCCGTTTCGGGTTGGGGTTGAGTTTGGGGGGGATTGGAAGAAAAGCATCTCGTGTTGTCAGCCACAGCAGATCTGGAACCAGGACAAACCTGGGTGCTCAGGCATTCAGCCTTCTTTGGCAGGATCTCCTTGTGGCTCAGTGGTATCTTGTGGGCCAATCCGCTATCCTTCTTGCTAGACCCTTCGCTTATCGATAAAGAGACAACTCAAAAGAAGAACAAACAGCGACTCCTCTTCGTTTTGTTGAAGAAGCCACGATCAAAAAAACACCTTGTCTTCGCCAAGCGCCTTACATGCTAGCTGACTACTTGAGCAGTCCTTCATCGGAGCCACATAGCCCTTCGCCATCTTGTCATGAGTCTCAAAGCCAGCTCGGTTGCTTGTGAACCTAAAGGTTGGACAGTCTTTGCATATCTTTTGGATGTGTGCCTCGAGTTCTTCCAGAATTCTTACAAGGGGTTGCAAGTATGCATGTGCCTGTGCATGACAAGTGACACAACTTGTCTGACTTGTCTCTTTCCGATATAAATGGGCCCGCTGCATGTCGCAAGGTCCATGACACTTGGTTCGATCTTCGTGATAAGCTGAACCCAAACGGCCACCAGCGACAACTTTGTGACAGCTCCCCAAGCATCTCCCAAGTCATCGAGCCATCCAGAAGAGACTTTCCAGATTGGACCTTCATCTCCACGCCACTAGGTGCGGTGGTGTCCTACGGCTCAATCTCAGTGCCACACATGTCTTCACAGCTGGCCACCGCACGCCTGGAGAGGAAAAGATATATAGTAAACTATCAACCATACGGTGCCAAATCCACACAAAAGTAAGATATCAAGCTCCGCATAATATAATCAATGTGTTAGCAAGAATACATCTATATAACAAATTCTAACAGTAATCTAACAAAACAGAAACAGAAATAAGCCTTTCACAAAACAGAAACAAATCATAACTCCCAAAAAATCAACATTTTACTGTAGGTAAAACGGATTCAAAACAATGGTAGGTTGCTCCGGATTGGTGCTTTTCGTTGTTTGGATCAAACATGGCAAATTGAATGAGCTGACCATGCCAAATACTGTACATCTTTCTGTGTGGGTCACAACCCCCTGAACATGACCAGAACACTCGAGTCTATCCGGCTGATCAATTTTTGATCCAAGCCCATCCCATTTTTAGAAGAGACAGACCTGGCACCGAGCACCTAGCTCACGGCTTCTGGTGAGCTAAGGACGAAGCTGAAGATGCAGCCCTGACTCAGTCCTTGAAGACCTGCACGTCAATTAGGATCTGGGGATTAATGTCAACTCAGTGTTGGACAAAGAACACACTGGAACAATGAGTCTTGCCTCAAGAGCAAGAACTCCTTGGCGAATTCTTATGGTTAAAGTCTTTTTGCTCTTGTGTCAAGGGAGTGGCAAAACTCTTGCATGTAGCTGGAGATATGGGCGTGGATCATGAACCTGCTCAAGGAGATAGAGCGAAACTGCAACCAAGCCATCAACGTCTCTGGTGTAGAATTTAAAGCATATGTACGGCTGTGTCCTCGTTGATTTGGTTTGCTCCATCCTCTTCTTATTTCCTATCTATATGGACAAAAAACATAAACACATTTTTTGATTAGTAAGCCTTCTTGCCTGCGGATCAAGGTAGTCAAACCTGGGATATCTCCTTTTACGGATCCAGTATGATCCAGCGATCCCAAACAATCCAAGGAATGCCAATGTAAAGACTGACTGCTGGAAGAAACATCCGCCATATAGCCTCATGTCACCGATTGAGGCGTCCGTGTCAATTCAAATAATGCATGCCTTGAGCCTCGAGTCTTCGACTTCCTCCGGACGGACAACCCACGTGCTCCACCAACCCTTTCTCCATCGACCGCCTTGAGGCGGCCCTGGCAGTCGAGAGCGACCAACATCTTCGGGGCCATTGCCAAAGAGGCTTGGAAGGCGTCACCCACGTGGTGCGACTGCGCAGAGCTGGGACTTGAGACAAATGGGGTTTTGATGGACTGGGGATACTGGAAACGAAATTGCCAAGCGTGTTCTCATAGGTGTGCAGCCTTAGTGTCCTTTCACCGATCGCACTTGACATGGATGACCAAGCTACAGCCATTTTGGACATCTTGGAAAACCCGGGGTCAGGGTGAACTGCGCTTTCATCAGAATGCTGGCCATGAATGAGAAGCCGCATGCTTCCTTCTTATAACTTGTAAGGCTTGGAAATGAGTATTTGCATCCAATGCAAGTTTGACATGCCTTGTGTTTCCTGATGTTTCGACATAGGAAACGCATGCTTTTGTGTAGAGTACAGTAGCTGATGCACACCCACTCGACATAAACTTGTGTAGACTCCCCAACAGCTGACTCCTGAAGAATTTACGGTATCAGTGTCCATCTGATCAAACAGGCTGGCGCCGTGTCATAGGAGCAAAACAGTTCTCGGCAAACCCACTAGTCACTAGGGTTAGTGTGGTTGGGGTAGCCCGTCAATTTGTTGCACTAAAGAAATGTTACTATATATATATATATATACAAAGAGATACACAAAGGACCTGGAAGGATTGTGGGATGAAGTGGAGGGCGGAAGCCTCGTGAATACCTCCATACGAAGAAGAACATGCAGCAAACAAAAAAGTAGGAACGGGTAGATGGTAGACGTCTTTCTACTCTGACACTCCCCGTTCTTCCTCTACAGGTCTCAACATGATGAGAAACCACAACCGACCACAAAGAGAGACAAGATCTTAGGCGCATGTGATGCAAGGAATCAATGTAAAAAGTTAATTGACAAATCAATGTACAAGTTGAACTGAGTTGGACTCCAACCCCATCACCCATCACCCAGGTCTCGCCACTGTGCCTGGACCTCGTCTGGCGAGATCTTGCCATCGCCATTCCTTGGAATTGCCGGTGCATGGCTGATTGAGGTTCACATAGCTTAACAACTTCACATCTGCAAATTGGCCAATTGGTCGGACAAAGCCCCAGAGCTCCCTTGACGCAAACACTCGACTCACCGGACTGGAGCACTGGTCACTAGTGACTCACGTGAATCGAGAAGCGCATCCCGCACTGCGTAGACGTGGCCATCTTGGAAGGGGACCTCAGCTGAAACTGCGATTCAGCGCAGCAAGGGATTGATCAAAACGGAACATTTTTGTCAGGTTGGTCCAACAACTCAAGGCTGGACATTCTGCTATCAGGATGCTGAGCCACTATTCTCTTCAGTCTTTAGAAATTCGCACTGGGACACATGAATTAATTATAAAGCAACGAGAATGCGAACACACTGCAGTTGGTTCCACACTCATTTGCCCCCCCAACATGGACCTCTTAATTTCATCCACGCAGCAAATGCGGTTCCAGCACCATCGATCACTGGCTGAGAGTTAGCATCCGGCATACAAACCTCTGTCGGAGTTCAACTGCAGCTCACAGTGTTGGACTCAGGTGGTGGTGATGTTGTTGTGGTGTCGAATTGCTTTTGCAGCTGTAAATGAAGTTCTTGTATGTGTGGGATTCTTTTTCAACAAAGTCGAAGATGCTGTTTACCTGTGTTGCACGTAGCTGTTTGAAAGCAATCTGTCAACAGCACGAAGAGGACACTTGTAAGGAACAAAAAAAGGCGCTGAGTCACCTGACAATGGCCATCGTGAAGAAGTTCCTGTATATATTTGTATATATTCATCATTATCCCTCCTTGCCGAGACTGAGAGCGGGTGACAGCTTCCTCCCTGGATGAAGACATGTACTTGTGCCAGTTGAAAACCAGACCGACACTGTACTCAAGTCCATACTGGGGGAAGCAGGCCACCAATATGTAAAGGTTCATCCTTCTCGATGAAGCCATCACTGGCTTGTACCCAACATGGGCGCTTCATCATCTTCTACATCAAAGAGTGTCTCTAGTTCTGAATAGCAAACAAACCTTTGGCCCGATCATTGAAGTAAAGGGCAACCCCCGCCTTATGCTGCCAAAGATATGAGCATGATCCTTGCTGTAAAGCATGTACTTCGCTTCTCCTGTGTTTTACATCAAAAGAGTGAGTTCAGTGTATAGTTGCGCTTGTGAGCCCAACAAAGGCAGGTGAACCTCTGCAAGACAGCCTCCTCCTAATCCCCCTACCCTCACCAAATTCATCTGTCGCAAATGGCACTCTCTTGACCAAGCTCATGCAACCCAAAACAATATTCAGCTCACATCCTTCCAGCCATACCCCACATGCCAAACCCATAACAAACCGACAGCCACATCCGTCCGATCAAAGGCCCCAGCCGGCTCGTTGTTGGGGTTATTGGTCCACCCCTCGCTAGGTTCCAAACAGGACCGATGGAGAAGGTCCAGCAACAGTCTGATTGGTCACAGGGTTCTGAGGTCTTGTTATAAACGAATTGTATAGTAGATAATATATCTTGAGGTGGTTATGCTGAACACGACCACAGTGTTGCCCATGGTTGACGAATCTGCTAGATCGGCATCATTCCGCATTACAGTTTATTGACTGTCCAGCTGCTACCCCCAGTGCATGTTCACATGGGACAGGGCTGAGGGGGCGAATCCAAACAATCTTGCAAATAAGAGGGAAAGCACGCCCAGGGCCCCACTCAAATCCTATGAACATTGGATAGACCATGGACTTGGCAGAAACACAAATAAGTAAATTGTCAACCTGTTGGGATTGCATTCGCTAGGTCCATGGGTAGTACGAGTACCAATCAAATACTTGAGACACCTTCTCAGGATGGAGAAACAGTAGACACGGGAGGATCATGAAGAGCTGCAGTACGAACTTGTCAGTCAGGTGAGGCAAGGTCTTGCGAATGTTTGGAAGCGGCATTATCGGAGGTATGCAAAACCATATGACTCGGCTGCGCCAATTGAAAAGCAACATTAAAACTTCACCTATTATTGTATACCATTCAAAGGAACCTGCCTCTGCCCTTTGGCACAAACAAACTCCCACAAGGGTAGGTGGAAGTAGAAAAAGGGCAGGTTTATAGCCCATCTTGTCTTAGTGCTATGGGTGCGTTTCTTGATTTATATATATATATAAGCTAGCAAAGGGCATCGCTACTAGTAACTTACTACTAGGAACATTGTTGGTATTAGTAATAAGAAGCTCCTAGTAGTTAGTAGTTGTGTTTCGCAATTTTGTAGAAACCGCAGTGGTGGCCTGGTACCGCTCGAGGAACTTCTCCTTGGTGAAGGGGATGGAGGTCGACCGGAACGTGAGTGTGGCTGTCCGTCGTTACACTTGGGAAATAGGAATGCTGCCCCGCTCAGCCATGCAGCCAACTTCTCCACTGTAACCCGCTTACTTTATGTGTATATATATATATGGTACCCCCAAACCCTACGTTTTTGAACTTTTCAGTGGTGTTTACAGCAATTCTCCACAATCTCAGGCCATTTTTTGGTTGAAGTTTTAGATGGATTGCGTGGGTGCCACATATATGTATGTATACGGGTATGGCGAAAAGGTGTGCAAGCAAATGTTGAATAAACAACTTTGCAATTTTTGCAAAGTTGCTGTTTTTACAAAACTCACTATTTTTGAGGAAACTTCTTGAATCCAAGCCCTTGAATCTTGGGGTTCTGGATGTCAGTCAGGGCTTGGATTCAAACAGTTTCCCCCAGAATCTTGAATCTTGAATCCCAAAAACGTTGCAAACTTTGGAAAGTTTCCTGAAACCATCTGAAACCCGAAGCATGAAATAGTAAAATGATCGAACCAACATATATAACACACATATGACCTTTTTGTAAAAAAATACTCATTTACACAAATTATTGAGACATATTTGTCACATACAACTGACATCAAACATATCTGACAGTTCAATCAAAGGATAATGAAATTAGCAACCTTAGATAATTGCATTGTTCACTGTCATAGATGTAAATGGGGTTGTAAATGACGATTTTAAACATATTGATGTTTATTGTATAGAACGTATTTCAAGAAGTAGTGGGTACTAGGTAATGGATACTACTAAACAGTATCTTGTGTCAGAATAACAGAACATTAGATAGATTTACTGAAGGATTGAACACCTGCGACAGTTGTAGAGCCAAACAATCAAGAAAATATTACACTAGTACAGAATACTACCAACGAGAGAAGAGTAAGGAAGCAAATGAAAGGGCAAAAGGAAAGTCACCAGAGAAAACGACTTTACTGCCCATTATGTGAATACTGTATGATATCAAGTGGTGTGAAAAAACCCAACATGATCAAGATAATGTCAGAAAACAAACTCATCCAGAAGAGTTTGAACATGCAAATGAACCAAACAGTAAATACGTTGACAAAGAGGAACACAAATTATATTGTGTGAATGAGATCATCGGTTGGACCAGATTGTCTACCATCCGCCACAAACGTGGCTCAAGATTCATTCAGGGCAGTCGAAAATGAGCCGCCATGGACCGATCATTCGTTGAGCCCGCTATCACTCTTACAGAGTGGTAGCGGAGCTACCTGGTTTCCTAGAGCCGTGAGGATTTATTCGTAGAATATTACCTGCTCTAGATCCTGCTCCCTTGGGTTTGGAAGATGCCCCAATCTCATCGACCTGGTTCCAGTTCCGATGTGCACTCCGCTATGCCTCAAGGATCTGCGCTGTCGTCGCCCTTGCATGACCCAGGACGTGAATATGCAGCCCCACCTGGATTGTCTTGACCCTCAGGACTCACCGAGCCCGACGAGGATAGAAATAGCGATCCATGGCAGCAAGCACGGCCCCAGGCCGTTGACACGGCCAAGTTTTGATGGAGTCTCCAGCTTCAAGGACTATCGCATCCGAGCCCGGCTATGGTTAGCGACCACCAAGGCCAAACCAAAGACACGAGGACCATTCCTTCTCAAGAACCTCACTGGTACAGCTTTTGACAACTTCAAGTACCTAGCTACGGAAGATAGCTGGTTGAATGATGTCAACAATGGTCAACTCCTGTTAGATCTGATGAACACACGGGAATACTATGGTGATGATGCCCGTGAAGATATGTTGCACTGTTTGGGTAAGCTCACCTACCAGATGAAGCGTGGTAAACAAGAAGGACAAAAGGATTTTTGTGCTCGGCGGGACCTGGCTGTTCGTCGTGTCTCGGAACACGGAGTTAAGCTTCCACCGGAGTACCTTGGCTTCCTCTTCATCATGGCCCTCCAGCTCGACCCTCAAGAAGTGAAGCTCTTGATGAACTACTGCAAAGGCAGTTTGAACGTCACGGATGTGAAAGAATGGCTCCGAGTTCATGAGACTGTCGGCATCAAAGATCTGTCCAAGAATAGCGACAAGAAATCGGTTCTCTTGACAGAGACGACTGATGAGGTCTTCAACATGGAGGCTGACGTCGATGAGGGTGAGGACTCTGAGTATGAAGTCCTGTTGACGGCAGCTGCATCCTTAGGTGTGGAGACTGAGGAAGAAGAGACTTTTGATGAAGAAGAGGCCAAGGAGATCCTGGCAACCATGGTCCGTGAGCCGGAAAGGCTATTTTGCAGTTCCTTGAACCTATCGAGTTTCGATAGAAGAACGAAAGAAAAGGATCCGCTGCGGCAACTGCAAGCAGATCGGGCACTGGCGCAAAGAGTGCCCGGGCAAGAGCTCGGTCAAGGAAGTGCAATTCCTTGAGACTGATGCCAATGAGGCCCTTTTCATGGGTTTCTTGGAGTTTCAGGACTTCAAAGGTCACGAAGTACACCACCTTGAAGGTGATCCACTGGCCAAGGCAATTGCTTCTTGGCGCGCCCGAAGTTCCAGCTCTGGATCGAGCGAATCGAGCGGTGAAGCGAACCCCACGTCCGCAAGTGCATACAAGGAGCGCAGTCAGCTTGCTTCACGAACACAATGTTTAGAGGCCTTCTATGCTCATCTTGGTTCTCAGCTACAGCGTTTTGACATTGATGAGCGGGCATGCACAACAGTTGGTACGGGTTGTCAACGATCAGCTATCGGCATGGAAACGTTGCAACAGCTTCAACAAGCACACCCAAAGACATTGCCTATTGCATTGCTACCGGAGGTTCACAAGTTTTGCAGTGTACATGGTGTTTCTTGTACATCACAAGTTGCATGCATTCCAAGTAGCCTTCGACCAAACGGTTGCATCCTCCGACCGGCAGTGTTCCAAGAATCACACAGCAGTAAGGCCCCATTTTTGTTGTCGTTGCCATTTCTTTTGGAGCGTCGCACTACGTTGGAGTTGCAAGGGCCTGTCCATGTTTGTCAAACGGTTCAATCGCAAGACTAGATTACATCTTGGCCCCACTGGTGCACTCAGGGTTCCACTCAACAAGTTCTCCCCGGAGCTCCGACACCTCCAACGTGGTATGGAGAAGGTACAAACAACGCGTGAACATGAGATCTTGAATACGCTGGCTCAAAGCAGCGAACCCGGTGATCACGCTCGAGATCTCTCCGCTCGGCCCTCTGACATCTGCCCAGATGCAGTCCTCGGGGAACAAGCGAACTCGTGCCATGGGCCCCGAGACGGACCTGGAGGGCACGATCAGCCGCTGGCGGCGTATGATGCTACGCATCCTGGTCCTGATCCATCAAGCCACGCTGCGCACACTGACCCTTCGCATGCCTATATGCCGGGTTTCAAGGGTCATCGGGCCAGGCAGATGACCCAGGAGCTCGAGATCCTGGAAGATCAGGTTAACTGGGATATATCTGCAGGACCGAGCAGATTGTCGACCAGCTCAATGAGCGGAGGATGGCCGAGCTGGACAGAATTCACGGTGATCTCCGGCGGATCAGGGCGCCACAACAAGGCGGCACCTCAGACACCTCCCCGCAACACGAAGAAAGGGATGCCCGTTGTCAACCCAATGACACCACCGCCGGGAGAAATTCCACAGCGCCGCTGTCAATTGCCCAGCGCGATCCTCATCACCAGGAAGGAGGGGCCAAACTATCTACGCCAGTTTTGGCGTTGTGCCAACTGGAACAAGCCGACCGGATGCGCCTTCTTCATGTGGCTGGAGAAGCAACCGTACTGGGCTCCAACGAAGAACCAAGCCTCCGAGGAATCGCCCACGTCGGCCGGCACCGACTGGGAGGTCGAGAGTCAGATCCCGATGGTGGCAGCCGTCGATCCAGTCTGCACCCATGTTCGCACCTGCAGGCGGGGTTCCAATGCCTTTGTGACCCAGATCACATGTCTGGATTGCGGTCACCTAGTCTCGAAAAAGCAGAACACAAACAAGACAGCGTCCTCCACCTCGGCCGAGGAGACAGCCATGTGGGCGGAGTTCGAGGAGTTCCAGAACTTTAAGCAGCGCTGCCAAATGCGCCAGAGGGGTCAACACGGATGACTTGTGACCTGAGCCGGCCCGGACAATCAAGATTTTTTGCAAGACTATGACTCACAGGCATCGGATTGGTTCTAATATTGACAAGACCATCAATATGTGGAACTATTTGGTGGATGTTTTTGGTGATCCTACAAAGACGGAACCAGGTGTTTTTGTTGGACATGTTTCTACACTACCTAGACATGGGTTTGTACATGTTCATTGTGTACATACCCTCGTCCGAACACTTTCCAACTGCATAATGTATATATACACGTTCTTGTTCCAACAATCACGCACTTTCACGCCATTAGCTGGCTCTCCATATAACAATGAATGGTCACACACCTTGAGCCTCAGGCGGGTGCCATTAAATCCTACGCGGTACCTTGAGCCTTATATAGGGTGCCATTAATTCCTACAAAAAAATATAAAGAAACACGCGCAAATCAAACCAGCAGCGGTGCACACCCTGGCTGGCAAACATGCTCGCAGCACTGCCCACCCTTTTTTCATTTCAAGGCGTCCTTCAGCCTGGAGAGCAATCCAAGTTTGTATCTCTCCAAGCACCGCACAGATGCGGTCCGTACATGTACCATCCTCTTCAGGCGCATGTACCGCTTAATTCCATCCTCGTCCATCCAACAGGACAGATGGGATGGGTTCAAGTGGCTGGCGCGGACATCTTCTGTGAGATGCACCAAAAGGTGCAGCTTGGGGCGGCATCTGAACAGTCGCCTCCCATCGTCCAGCGCAGCTCTTGCAAATTTCACGTACAGTCTCAGCATCAGCTTGCCCACAGCCACACGCTGTTCGTCCTCACCAGGCGCCATGAACATCGGCGTGCTATGCAAAAGCGCAGCCCAATTGTTGGCTGCCCACACCAACTGCAG